TATTACTAACTCGTTATGTACATATTGTTCCCATAATTACTGTGACCTTAATCATTTGTTTTTGACTGCCGACAATTTTCTTTACAACGTCTTTTACTTATTTCTTTAACCCAAAACCATCTCGAATATATGTATAACAATTCCCAGTACTGTACAGAAGCTTTTAAAGCACACAAGTTTAAATAATGTAATATTTGAATTTGTAAAAAGCACCTTTAAAATAGTGTAAGTTGTTTATATGTAATTTCTTTTTTTAACTTTCATACTGTAGTAGTTAGTTTTTTTAAAAATTATATTTAAAACTCTGTAATAATTATAATAATTCATGTTTATGCTGATGGCTTTGCCAAAGCCTTAATATGGCCTTAATAAATTTAAAAATAGAAAATAAAATAAAAACCATCCATAAAAATCTTAAATTAAAATATTAGTTCATCATTAAATTTAAATTAAAATAATCTTAAAGTATTACTTTTTAAAGTTTAATAATGACAATTTAGTACATGACAACCGTAACGCTTTATTTTACAGATATGCTAAACCTGATGAACCTAAGATCTATATGACGGCCTGTAACGTGTAGTGAGATGCTTAAATACATCTTTTTTACGATCACTCGAAACGTGTTCCATATAAAACGAAATTTGATTACATTTCCTAATCAAACTCTATTACAATCAGTAGACGTGCTCTACAAACTAATATCAAGAGTTATGTAGATTTTAAGACTTTCGTGGTTATTCACTAAATGATTATCACTAGTAACAGGTTTCTTACCACGGTATAACTTCTTTTTATTTTCCCGATATTTCGGAACGGTTGCACGCTCCATGGTCACGGGTTGACTCTCAGTCAACCACCACAAGAGTTATGGTTTGTTGGTTTTCGGTTAAATAAATATGTTGAGGAGCAACGGGAAATCAAGTTCGAAGTAAGGTAAGGTTTTAGTAGCAGTAGAGCTTCTTGTGAAGTTCATCCAGGGAAGTACTGCCACGTTACCTATTTCTGCCGTCAAGCAGCTAAGTAAGCATTACTGCGTTCCGGTTTTGAAGGGTTGTAAAATTGCAGGTACATGGGACTTTTCAACTTATGTCTCAGGGTGATGCGCGCAGAGGAAGTGAAGCATCTTTGCGATTTAAAGCTCTGAGTGGCGCTGCAACTGTTATGGACAGGTGCGTCGTTTACCATCATGCGCACGACTTGTTCGTCCCATCATTTAGTATCTTAAAAAGAAAAAAGTATATTTAAGGTATAATTTAAGAAAATCTAAATAATCAGAGCAACAGAATCGAGCGGAATTTAGACAAAAAAACACACTGACGTGGAGCAATAGAAAATATTAAAAAGAAATTAGATATATTTTAGTCCGTAGGTCAATGCTGCCCGGTCCACCAGTTTATAACAAAAATAGTTACTATTTTATTATAGAGGCTCAAAATCTCGTAATAGAAAATTACGAGATTTTGAGCCTTTATAATAAAATATGAAAAAGCTTTAGGCGTGAAGACAAATATGATTTCGAAAAATCATCATCCAAAAGGAAAATAGTCAATAGTTCGTCTTGAAAGTTAGTATTTACACATTTTAAATTACGCAATGCCTGGCATGCACGCTTCTTTTATTTTTTTCCACTCTCTAAGCATGCACGCGAGTGATTTTAAAACGGCAACATAAACAAATGTAAATTTTTTCCAAAGGCAATATCAAGACTCACGTCTTAGCCTACGTTCGGGATGTTATGAAATATGTTTATTTTCATATCTAACTCTACGAAAATATAGTTCAAAATGAATTCAATCGCGAGTAAGACATCTACATACGGCAAGTATCCTATCTAATGTTTTACCTGCCATAAAATATTGTTTTGGACCAAATTTAATCCCAGTTGGGGTTAAAGTTATTATTTCCCGGTAAAGAGAACATCGCTGAATAACATTCAAAATTTATTAGGAAAATGCGTTAGAATATTAATTATATCGTTTTGAAGCTATGATATTTCGATAACGAGTATGATGTTCTACAGAATTGAGACAAAATTTAATAATAAGATAAAAAATAAATGATAGAAGATTATTAAAATGTACTATTAACTTGAAATTGTTGACGGTTGACTAACGTTATTGAAATTAAATCATTTGGGACTGGGACCAAAAATTTCAGCATATAATCGAATTGCTTAAACTACAAAGTACTATCCATATTCAGTTTCAGATCATAAATGAAACAGCTAAAGTTTTCCGTTTACTAGTTTCAAAAGCAAATATATTGTAAGATACTTACATGTTAGTAAGCGTATTCAAGCAACGTTGTTTTCGGGAGAGAGATCTGGAAAACAGAAAAGAATATTTAATATTTGTGTATATATATATAATGAAGTGTATTATTTATTTGTAGGTACAGTTTTAGATGATCAACCACATCGACAGACAAAGAAAATTACGATTTTGATTAAGAAAATTTACCGGTCGTGGAATAGGCAGGATGAGAGGCCTATTTCCTCTTATTTATTATATAGGCTCACGTTTGTCCATAATATCACCTTTTTGTAAATGTAGACGTGGGTGAGGATGATACGTCTAACTAAAAGATGTCTGTTCTGACCTTAAAGTTGTCCAGGTTGTGAGGTAATAAACAATACAGAGAGCTACATTTCATAGATGTAGGTATAACGAGAAACTTACAAGCAAAAGATTCGATAGTTCTTTGTTTCATACGTAATAAGCAAGTACCTATTTCTGCCGCTAAGTGCCTCAGTGGTTACCAAACTCGACTGCCACGCAGGTCCGGGGTTCGATTCCCGGGCCGGGAGAAATATTTGTATGGCCTACATTTATTTCTGTCGTGACTTTGGATGTGATTAGTGGTTGTCTATGTATGTGTCCATGGCACTCACAATATACTTTTTTTTTGAGTTTTCCTAGTGCGGAGCTATGAGTGTGTGCGTTAAAAAAGTTCCAGTAGGGTAAGGGCCCAGTTGTCACACGAGGCGAAAGTTTTCGCGCGGGCGCCACGCGGCGACCGCCCGGTTACCACGCCTTCATGAACATTAATGGCGAATCTGAATTTTATTTACTAGGCTACAATATTTAAATTCCTTTGAATAATACAACCGCGCGGCCGCCTCGCGCGGGCCGCCGCGTTGCCAAATTCGCTCATTTAAGTTAAAAACAGATAGAGCGTATTTTGTCATGACAGTTAGACGCACGCGGTCGCGGATGCGCGGCCGCCGCGCGGGGTAAGTGCGATGAAATTCGTGTCGAATAAATGCGCCCTAAGGATGCAGGTGAAATTACAGGCACATGAAACTTGTCACTTATGTCAAAGTGTGACAGGCGCAGTAGTATTGTCCCTCAGATCTGCGCGATTTACAGCTGACTGGCACTACAACTGCTATGAAAAGGCGTGTCGCTTAACGCCGGGTACAAGACTTGCTCGTCCTGTCACTTGGCATAATAATAAAAAAAAGGTGTATCGGAATGCGTCATATTTCAGTCTCATTATTTACAAGTACGTATAAATATGATAAAGTTACAACGGTTATGTATTGCTTATGGGCAATTAATTTAGTTAGACGTAATTACGAATGATTAAGTGCTATTTCGGGTTTTTACTTAATTACGAAGTCGTTATTTACCTAAGAGTACAGACATAAAGAAAACTTCTACGTACTTTGTTTGTGGCGAAATTATATTAATTTCGGAGAAACGAGATATTATGGCTTGAATTACGAGTAATATTTATACTTATTTTGTATTCTTTATATATGTTATTATTTATCAGTAATGTTTATATACGTACTGTAACTTTATTGACGCTGTAACAGCTCATTTACGTGTTTAAATACGATTAAGTAATAATGGAGAATTTGAACCGAACAATCCGTGTTGTAAATTGTATAGTAGGCAATCCTCACAGGAAACAGGCAAATTGACTGTTATATTTGTTGAATTGGCTCTCCAATAGCACCGCCCAGACATGTAAGCTATAGTTTAGGACACATTGTACAAAAGTTCCTAAACAAATAAGGTTTTTAAAAAAAGGGGAATTTGGAAACTGGAGGACCAGATTCAATAGAGAAATGTTGAGTTAGTGTTTTAACCGAACGTAATCGGGGAGATGAAATCCGCTCGACTTCGTTCGTAGGGTATGTAGAAAGAATGGGAGAGGATCGAACTGCCAAAAGAGCGTATTTAGGGCAACTTACGAGTCATTGTTCAGTGATATCGATGGAAGGATGAAGTCTCCAAACACTGAAGGAGCTGAATGTGCACGAATGGTCGGAATTGGCACAACACCGAAAGAAGTGGTGTGTGCTGAGGCCAAGATCTATTTCGGGTCGCTGAGCCAACAAAATAAGTAACATTTTTCGTCGTCGTCACTTAGCACGATGCTTACAAACCTCTCTAGCTTCACTTACGCTCATCAATCTTTTCACACATGCCCATTTCATATTCTTCTCACTACACACTCCAGCATTTTTAAGAACACCCTCAATTTGATCTGAGATTGTTTTTACTGGCCCTCCTCTTCCAATGATTCCTTCCATGTTAGCTCTACATATTTCTTTCGTAAAACTAGATCCATTCATCCGCTTCATGTGCCCAAACTACCTCAGCATACCCTTTTCTATTTTTGTCATTACATCCTCTTTCAAACGACATTGTTCACAGATCACAGTAGTCTTCACTCTGTCACACCACATTGAGGGATCTCATTTCATCTGCATTCACTCTACTCTCATGCTTCTTCTGCCATACCCAAGACTCACTCCCATACATTAGCGTTAGAACCAACCGCAATATAATTATTATTAAAGCTGGCTACTACAGCTTCAACAATAATAACCTATCGCTTCTCAATCAGTGGCTGTGGGTTCGAATCCGGACTCGCAACTTTGAGTTTTTCGGATTTTATGTGCGAAATTGAATTTACCATGAGCTTTTTGTGAAAGAAAACAACCCTCGGAAAATGTGTGAAGTCTCCAACCCTTATTGGACCAGCAGCGTGGCGGACGGTCTAAACCGTTGCCTGAGAGTAGAGCCGGGCACAGCAGTGGGACGTATGAGTAGGTTGATGATGATAATTATTAAGCAGTTAAGTTTAATTAGTATGTTCTTACGAGACGTCTGTAGGTATTACGACTTCCGCATGATTTTAGATTTTTATCTGAACAGATTTTATGCAATAATGATACATATTTATTAAACGAAACAAGCATAAAAATCGAAGAGGAATCGTGAGCTGTTAGTGCAATTGTGTGTTAGTGCAATTACTGAAATGGAAATGTTCACAGTTCGTTCACATTCGCCGTTCATTCAAGTCTCGAAGTGTAGTTCTAGTGTGAGAGTAGTGTGTAGTCTAGTTTTGCGCATAAACTGTTCTTTTCGTTCGAATTCGCGTAAATTCCAGTATCTTCTTCTTTTTGAGCCTACGGCTGATGATCCTTTTCGCAAATCTATAATTATGTACTGAAAGCTTATCGTTCTTTCCGCGAATTGAATTTCAAGTGGTGATTACCTAGGCTGCTAAAAGATTTTGAAAGATTCATATTGAATGTTATAGGAAATCACTCAGCTTATATTGATATCAGTTCGAGGTATTAAAATATTGATAGCAAACCTCCCTTCAAATGCAAATCCATTGTTATTGACTAGCTTTATAGAATTTTATATCATCGCCTTAAGAGTGAAAATGTGCTTCATATTTTGTTTTTACTAATTTTCATTATAGCAAAATTTGTAAAGCTCTGAGTTAAATATACTAATTAAAGTAGTATCTTACACATTAAAATGCTAACAGCTCAGCTTCGTCTTAAAAAAATACCTACAAACCACATACGAGGTTTTCAATCTAAGGGCTGGCTCATATGATGCCGTTAATTCTTGCCATTTCCAGTTTAAGGCGACGATACGTCATATGCATATATCACTGCTGCTATATATACGAATCATTGACTTACAATTATATGGACGACGGGTCTAATACAAAAACCACGAAAAAAATGTCCCAGGTCAACCTATTTAAACGTATTGACATGTAAAGGAATATGAATAAGCTAAAACGTTGAATTTAAATTGTAATGTCATCGCAGTACTGTCTAATTTTGCATGCTTTGCTGTCAGTCGAACAAACGAAGACTAAAGCGTGAATGACGCTCTGTATACGATTTTAACGCCCTATAAGTTCGGACACTTTTTAGCGCGGACTCGACGTCCATATAATTGTAAGTCAATGATACGAATGTATTGATTGTCTACGAAATGCAGGGAAATTCCTTCAAAACAGTTTAAAAACGTCATTACCCCCTTCTTCACCTTGACAAAAAAATAAAGAATTGAAATATAAAATTATTGCTTTTAATTAAAATACTCAGATAGGCTTACGGAAAGAAGTAAACTGGGTGAAAGGACGGTGTTACAATGAACGCCATCTCACAGCAGTTGCTGAAACCAATTAAAGTTAATAATCCTCTAATATAACACGGCCGCTTTTTAAATTAAGTTCGCCAGATTTCGTTGTTTTATCTCCCCCAAGACTATGCAAATTATGCACAAGATATACCTACATAAGAATAACTTAGGGATAGGCACATTTTCTTGAAAAATTACCTCCAGGGCACGCAAAGTAATATTCCCGTAAATTAACTGAGAATTTTAAACGTTTCCTTTCATAACGTTCTTGTTGGAATTAAAACATTTTTGTACTACGTTTACTATTAAACAATTGAATTTTTCTTTGAAATTAGAGTTTTTTCTCTTTTACCGTTATGCAGTGTGAACAGAATATAAAGCACTGAATCAACACGACTTAAATCCTTTCGTTATCAGACCCGTGCTTAGCAGTGAGGCGTTTATAAGTAGCTTACGATGTCCCACGGCCGAATCTTAGAGAAAAAAAAGTAAACGATATACTTAGAATGAGAGAAGGAAAAGTATAAGTGCAGGACTGAACGTTGTATAGCTTTTAGGAAAGAACACCATCACTGGAATCTTTCAAACAATGATCAGAGATAGCATTATGGATTCCATGACACTTGAGGAAGGAACTTGTCAAATCGCCGACACATGAACCGAATTCGAACCTAATTTAGCAAATTGCATTATTACGTAACTATATTGCCTGGAATGCATGCATGTGAGATGTGATTGTGTTATAACGATCATATGGGTATTCCAATAACGTACTTGACTCTCTGGCGATTGACTGCATACGGGTTATATCTCTACACCATTTGTGTAACTACGTAAGTAAATGGACAAAAATAATAGAAATTCGTGTTGTATTTAACTAAATGTAGCCACATGCAAAGGCACGGAACAAATGTG